GGCAGTGGCACAATGGTGGTGGAGAGAACTCGAAGGAGACCGAGCCCTAGCGGCGACGTGTCGCACAACAACGCGATTTTGGGGTTGAAGTTGTGGCAAGCTGTGCGGATCGAAGAAGGAGGCGCTAACGTTAACAACACCCCTGGCTGATCCATGTGTCATAGACAGCGAGCCTATTTGGAATGGACCGCGACAGTGCCTCCATCGCTCCTGATGAGCGTTTCGGAGTTTTAAGAGGATGGAAGAAACCCAATGCAGGAAGAGAACGACGTTGACAATGCCGGTGACGTCGTCGGTCTTGGTCGTTGCGACGACGAGCATGATAGCTACGAGCAACGGCGACGAGCGATGCCTCACGTGTGCTGTGTTTGTCTCCCATGAGTGAAAGAGAGCGAGCCAAAGGAGGAGGGTCGTGAAGGGCGGCGACGCTTCCAACGTTGGCGTTGTCAACGCCAACGACGTGCTAGGCCGGCCATGAGGAGCGACATTGATCCTTTTCGGGGTAGAGGCAAATGATTGTCGCGATGAAGAGGGAACCCCAAGCTTTCCCTGTTCCTAGATGGGAAAAGAAACCCTGGCTACCACGACGACATTTCTTGCACACCTCACATCCATAGTTAGTTTAGCGCTATCAATTTTAACGTCGTTAAACGGATAGGACTGAAGTCATACACTTTTCATAACATAGGGACCCAATGTCTTCATTTTTAAAACCGGGTACTAAACAGAAATTCATCTATTAACATAGGGACGAAGTAAGCATTTAAGCCTAGAAATTATTATCTCAATCATTGGTTCTGAGCCTTTGTCTATCATTTAATATGTTATTTTATACTACTAACGAGGTTAATCTTTCACACTGAAAACAAAAGTCCAAGTAAAGAACTCCTGTCATACCTCCCCTCTTTCCATTCATCTCTATATGAGGTGAAAGGTTGTAGTATATCAAGATACTTTCTTTCAGAATTTCTTTTTGTCAAGCATACACTAATCATTCACCAATACACAAAATATCTCATTGAGACCTTATCTCACAATATACATTGTAAATGATTCAATGACATTCACAATCCATAAACATAAACCATTCACAATTCCTCATGAAATGCATTTACCTAAATCAATTCAACCATAAAAAAAATCATAAATATCTCTGAAACCTACATTGGTTTCGCCATAGAGAACGCTCAGCAGTATGGGGCTAAAATGCTCCCAAACTTCATTGTAACTCTAGCGCTCAACACCATACCAGAGTCGTTCATCGTCATACTAAAATGCAACAACTTGATCTGATTGCACTCAATACCTATCCAAATGACCAAATTGGTATTCTTGGTATTGTGATTGATACAAAAACATGTTTAAACCTCATATCAAATACCAATTTGCTCAATAAGCTGACAATTCAATCCATCAGATCAATCTAAAAAAACAACCAAAATCTCAAACAATAACTCAACATACCAAATGACCAAATATCAACCATTCAAGAAGCTAACTAATTCCTAAATGACACAAACACGAGCCCCTAACATCAAGTTTCTTCAATAAACACTCCCCACTGAATTTCACATGTCAAACCATCAATTCTAGACAAATTCTAACCATTACAACCTATTATCAAACCATAATTCAACAACAATTTCAACTTATACTAACATCAGTTTCATGAGTTAAAACAATCAAAACAAGTACAATTTAACAAACAATCGCATTATTACTTACTCATACCAAACAACAAGATTTCATACCAAAATCAAGCAATCATACCATTACACAACAGAATTTTAGCAAGTTCATCTACCCACATTCAACAACTGAGTGAATCTAATCCAACTTAAACATACCAATTCATATTATAAAAGTACTAATATTGTAAAAACAAGGTATTTAGTTTCCCTTACCTGTCAAACGACAAAACAACTCTATAGAACTCCAAACAACTCCTACATATCAAAGAACTCTATCTGGACCTACAAACAATGAAATCACGATCATGAGACATTGTTATAACCATTGATCAACAGATAACTTAATGAAAGACTCAGATGACACATGCAATGAAAAACTACTCACATGTATGGGAAAACGAGAAAACTAGAGAAGAGTAGAAACTAACTAACTTTTTTGCAATAACTGATCGGACAAAGAGCTTTTAAGGAATAAGCTTTAGAGAGATAGTATATTTTTAGATAATAAAACTCGTTAACTGGAATTCTATTTATATTTTAAACTTTTAATATTAAAACAAACTAGTCTCATTATTTAGAACACACTGTCACTTCTAATCACTATTTTCTAAGTCTTTATATTATATTTATCTTAACCATCACACTATATAAATTCAAAGGATAAATACAATTTACTAAATATAAGCATCGAGCTTCATATAATTATAATTAAGGCAGTGACTCATGACAACCAGTTATATAAAAAAATCAATTTTTAAAGTTTATTAGTTCTCCTCTGTGTTATTCATCATGCTCCTGGTGTGATGAGTGTATGAGTAATATAGAAGAAAATGAAAAAAATACATTATTTATAACGAGAAGCAATTCGAAATAAAAATGGTCTTACGTAATAGAAAGAGTTTTGTTTTTTTTCTTTATTATGTATTCTATAAGCTTGTAATTTTTATTATTTAGTTATTATATCATCAGATATATATTTAAAATAAACTTGGGCTTTCTCAAACCCACAAGAATGAAGAAGAAAAAAAAGTAGAGGGTTACTACACCACCTAGATTGCTCTCTACACCACTACATTTTAAAAAAATTCTAAAACTATCATTTACATTTTAAAAAGTCTTACACCTCCACTTCTTTTCTTCAACGGATATGTCGTGGCCACCTCCGTTTAAGTTTTATGTTTTTCTTTTTAATTTTTAATTTATTAAAATCTTATATTTTAAATTAATTTATAGATTACTTAAATTTTTTTTGTTTTTTTATAATATATTACGTAAATTAATTTTATTTTATTTAATTAAATAATTATTATTAATTTAATTAATTTAAAGTAAAACAAAAACAAAATTAATAAAATTAATAATAATTATTTAATTAAATAAAATAAAATTAATTTACGTAGTATATTATAAAAGTATACAAATTTTAAATAATCTATAAATTAATTTAAAATATAATATTTTAATAAACTAAAAATTAAAAAGAACGTTGATTATAATTAATTAAAAAATAATATAATTAAATTAATATTAATTATTTCACAAATAAAATAAAATTAATTTATATATAGTTAAGTAACAAATTTAAAAGAAATTTAAATAATATTTATATATTAATTTAAAATACAATAAATTAAAAACTAAAAATTAAAAAAAAAGCATAAAGCTTGAATGGATATGACATATGCGTTGAAGAATTTCTTCTTTAACGTGACATCAGTTGAAAAAAAGAAGTGAGATGTAGAATTTTTTAAAATATAAATGATAGTTTTAGAATTTTTTAAAAATGCAGTATAGTAGAGGAAGAAATTTGAGGTAACGTAGGGAGTAACCCTAAAAAAAATATAATTGGAGTCCAAGTTAAAGCTTAATTGAAGACCACCAAGTTCCATAAAAGGCATGAAAAGCATAACAAAAAAGAATCAAAGTATGAGAACTAAGAATTCATTCGTTGGTAGATGAAGTTGATTTTTGGAATGAAGTTGAGAAATGATGATTCTCATTTTCAAACGTTGGATTATCTAATGAAGAATTAAGAAAGTGATAACACCTAAATAACTATGTTCCCACTAAATTTTGTAATATAAATGTGGATTATCAAAGACACAAATCATTTATATTCAAATTCAATATATTCCATGAAATGTGAATTATCTTTCGAAATACCAAAAGAATGTTAAAAATTATTAAAACATCGATCCATAGATCCTTAGGTTTAAGCATTATGAATTATCGTAGTAGTTTATGATTCAATTTCAAAATTTAATAATAATCAATATAGCCCTATATTCAATTAAACTATAAAATCAAACCGATTCAGGAACCAAAAGGAAATATCATCCAAATTAATCTATAATATTCAACAAATTGAGCTATCAATTAATTACCTAAATTCATTTTCTAACTCCCATAAATGCAAATCATGATCATCATTTAACGAGTTTGGAGTTAATGAGAAAATAAAAAAATAAAATTTGATAATTGTGAAACAAAAATCAAACCCTTATAATTGTAATTGATTGAAGAGAGAAAAGGTTTTGACCTAAAACTTGAAAAGTCTAAAATGAAATCAGAAAACTTCATTCTGACTTCGTTCATACTACTCATACCTAACTTGAACCCCAAAAATACGAAATCAATTCTTTTAGTAAATTTCAAACTTTATTATTTTAATCATTAGAAATACATTTCTTAAAATTCTTAAATTTTAATTTGCTTACTCTAACAACTGATTTAAAAGCTTTAAATTTACCATGAGTGAATTATTCTCGTAATTTTCATAGTCCAAACACAAAAGCTATTATGATATGAACAACTTGAAAAGAAGAATAGTTGAGAAGAGAAACCAAAAGCTTCAAACAAAATCTTCAAGAACCAACTTATTTGTTGTATACGATGTAAGATGAGAGAGCTGAACGTTTTCTGGATGCTAAATTTAAACAGATTCCAAATGCTACCATTTCTTCTGATATTCATCAAGACAAGTACAGAGCAGAAGGAAGCTGAAATGCTAGTTCAACCACCATTTGTTATCAACTGTCTCAGATGCAGCTCAGACCAATTCAATTTTTAACTCAATCCATCTTATTTCTATTACTTAGAAATCAAGACCTCCAACAGTTTAAATACAACTTGCTGTTGGAAATATAAGTTTGATTACAAATGAAAAAGTAGAACATTAGTCTTTGATTCTAAAGACTGGTTTCCGAAATTGAAAAGAAGTTAATAGTGCACAATTATCTTTGTTTCCTTTCCGAAAGGAGATTCATCAAAGCTTGGCAAAAATGATCTACCAATATTCACAACTATACAGAAAGATGTAATGTAAGGACATTTAGAAGAAACTTGATACTTGTGGAGTTCCTCTTGGCTAAACCAACTCTCTGCAAGGATTTACATTTATGTGAAATTCACATCAACAATGATCTTGATGTTCAACAATTTCTGTTATATGATACAGATTTTACAGAGAACAGAATTTGGTACATACCATGAATTTGGAAGAACAGAATTCGTTCCCTCTCTCTCAATCTTGTGAACATAGATCTAAGTTCATCTACCCTTCAGTCTCATTGAAAGTGTGAGAATCAAAACTTAGCACCTTATGCTGCTGCTCGGAGCTCTGAACAACCACAACAAGAACATGGCTACTTCTATGCTGTTATTCCAAGGCATTAACAGTGAGTGTTGGTGGCGGTTCCATGGCAGGATTTGGGCAAACAATGGTGATGGTGGAACGGCACAAGGGGCAAGAGGCATGAGATTTGAGCCAAGGATCAATGCAAGGGAGATGAAACGCATGGTTGCATTTTGGCAACAATCTCAAACTCTCATTCTCTTCAAACTCACTCAAACAAACCGAACAATCATGAGCCTCCACCACCCCTTTGGTGTATTTGCAGACTGTGATGGATTTGATGAGAGCCTCATCCAAACCAGAGTTTGAGGAAGAAGAAACCTGACCCAGTTCACTGCTCCCATCTTCTTCTGGTGCAGAATCATTTGATTGCATGATGGTGCTGCGTCTGCAGAACCTTGAGATGATGGTGTAGTATGTGACCAATATGAAAGTGCTGGCTAATATTCCAATCACAGCAACTATGAGAGGAGAAAACTGAAATCCTGAAGGATCATCAGCATCAGCATTAGCACCAAAGAAGAGTGAAGGAGGAGGAGGGGAGTAGACTATGTAACACCACTGGGGGCAGTAGATGCTGCAGATTCCTTCAGAACAATCCTTTGGAGTCCATGGATATGGATTTGGATTGGAGTTTCTTGCAGAACCCATTTCTGTTACTTGCTCTGTGAATGAACCTAATCATTCATCCATGGAAGACTCAATCATTACCCATTTTTTGGATCTTACAAGAGAAGGAATCAGAATCAGAAAATGGGAAATTGAGAGAAAAGTAATTGAGAAGAAAAGCAAAGGTAGGTCATCACAATTTGCTTACTCATCTTATCTTCTTCACCTACTTTTTCATTCTACTTTCTTCTTTTTCTTCTCTACCATTACATTCTCAAAATGTATACCTATAATTATGCTATATAAAATTTATCAGATTATAATTAATGTCTTCAATCTTCATAATATATGAGTACATATAAGTACTTAAATATAAGTACAATTCATAATATGTAAATACATATAAATATTTTTCTATAAATTGATTTCAAATTTAAAATTTACTTTTTAACCATTTTCAAGATTATATTAGCATTTTAATTTTTTTTTTTTCAAATTCGTTCCACCGTAATTTTAGTAGTGTAGGGAGTGTTTTATTTTAGGTGGTTGTACGATAATAAAACCATGTCAAGAAGCTGCAAAATTAATCGATAGTTTTGTCCATGTGACAACTTAATAATTGCTTCTAATTAATATATAAATGTTATAGTTAAATATTTTATAATTCAATCTAACCTTATCACATGGCTAGATCCCAATATTATTTATCAATTCTGCTACGTCGGTTTTTGTCGGCGGGGAAGATCGTTATTCTATGTACTCCACTCTCATAATGAATCTTAAAAAAAGGTTTAAAAATCTTAATTACACTAAAATAACTTTTTAATGTAACTTTATATAAAGAGAATGGTTTATATTGCCATGATTATTCATATCAAATTTTAGTATAGATAAATAAAAATGAATTTGAAAATATGCATTATTTGTGTTTTAATATATATAAACATGGTATTAAATAATTTTATATGAATATAAGTATATAGAGATCAATGGGGTATTTGTTAGTTAGTCGAAGTAGGCCATGTTTGTTGATCTATATATGTAGCTTTGAGTAGTCTTTAAGACATGGTTGGTATGATCACACTCAACATTTTCTATATATTTACATTAACTTGTCTTATATGTATGATATTTGTATATATTATCGATATTTTTTTTTCCTTTTTTATGATCCTGATTAGAAAAAATTGGAATGTCTTCACACCCACTATGAGAGGGACAGGGGTCTATTTATCAAATCCATATATTTTTTCAGGATGAATTTATTGTAAATTTAAATCACTTTCAATTGAAATTTCTTTAATCTAAATAACTCTTCAATCATTTTCCTTGACTTTTTTTTCCTTTCTCTTAATTTTCTTTTAGTCAGTCAACTTTTTCACTTCCTTTTTCTTCATTCAATTTCATCTCAATTCAAATCAAAACTTAATAAATGATGTTGGAAGACTATGGTGTATAAGCTTTAAGAGTTGAGATTTCATGTACTCGGAAATTATTGAAAGAGTTAACTTGCTTCATCTGTGGGTGGTATGATCTTCTTTCTGATTTTATTAAGTTCGATTTCCATAAAAATAAATGTAATCTAAGTGTTGATATTGGTATAATCTGTATTTAGTTTATATTCAATTATCTTTTTTATGATTGATACAACTTGAGATTACAATTTATAGTGATAAAACATTTTGTCAGCATATAGTAATAAAATTAGTTAACTTAGAAGGACTTGAAACAACAATAGAAGGTATATAGATTTACACTTGTTTAAACTATGTTGGGTTTACTTACGTTAGGATATAATTAGTACAAATTCATTGCGTAATAAAATATTTAACTTACAACACCTATTTACCGAAACATATAGAACTAGGTCAAAAACTGCTATAGCTTATATTAAACCAAACCACTTTTAAATTTATTCACTTTGTACTAAATTATAACTTAACTTGGCTCATGTTCTAAAATAAAAGCTATTCATATTACAACATTCATATTATAATTTAAATGACATTCAAAGTGCACAATCAAATATATAAAATATACTATTTCATGTTTATCTTTTCCTAATTTTATACTTTTGGTTGCATTATTCGATTAGTAACCAATAATATTAATTTTGGAAAAGCAAAAATTGAAAATTGGAAAATGGTTTTGTACACTATATACATTTACATTTCTAAATCACATAATGGATGTGATTTGTATGATAATGCAATAACCTAAGAAAATATGAATAAAAGAATTTGCATTGATCATCTGAGTTGGGAACATCTCTTGAGCTCACCTTTTCGATATATATCCTTCTTAGACAAAATTAAAATTCCTGTTTGCTCCTCAACTTTGCTTATAAGAAGTTTAAGTAAAGGAACCTTTGATAGGGTTCTCCGAGACCCTACCATGATCAACTTTTTCTGTAAGAAAAAAGCAAGGCCAATACTTGTTCAGACAAAAACATGAATAATTTAATATAACCAAACCCCTACGTAGGTTGATTTACAAAGTTCTTGTTATGACAAAACATGGTGAAAATTGTTTGAGGGAAAAGTAAGAAACTGGAAAATGTTTGAGCACAAGAGAAGTACCTTAGCACGAGTAAGAGCCACATTTATCCTGTGCCAGTCTCCAAGCAGAGAAGCAGCACAGCTTGTTGGGTTTTCAGTAGACCTTACAAAAGATAATAATATACAGTCCTTATCTCTACCCTGGAAAAAATACAAACAAGTGGCCATTTTATTGTGAGGAATGGGGATCTTTATCAGTGTAACGAGAGCAAAAAATTTAAATGAAATGATCAGAAGGAAACGCCAAAGTGATTCCTTAAATGTTAGAGAAATATTAAAGACTATTCGATTGTATGACTTAANCATATTACAACATTCATATTATAATTTAAATGACATTCAAAGTGCACAATCAAATATATAAAATATACTATTTCATGTTTATCTTTTCCTAATTTTATACTTTTGGTTGCATTATTCGATTAGTAACCAATAATATTAATTTTGGAAAAGCAAAAATTGAAAATTGGAAAATGGTTTTGTACACTATATACATTTACATTTCTAAATCACATAATGGATGTGATTTGTATGATAATGCAATAACCTAAGAAAATATGAATAAAAGAATTTGCATTGATCATCTGAGTTGGGAACATCTCTTGAGCTCACCTTTTCGATATATATCCTTCTTAGACAAAATTAAAATTCCTGTTTGCTCCTCAACTTTGCTTATAAGAAGTTTAAGTAAAGGAACCTTTGATAGGGTTCTCCGAGACCCTACCATGATCAACTTTTTCTGTAAGAAAAAAGCAAGGCCAATACTTGTTCAGACAAAAACATGAATAATTTGATATAACCAAACCCCTACGTAGGTTGATTTACAAAGTTCTTGTTATGACAAAACATGGTGAAAATTGTTTGAGGGAAAAGTAAGAAACTGGAAAATGTTTGAGCACAAGAGAAGTACCTTAGCACGAGTAAGAGCCACATTTATCCTGTGCCAGTCTCCAAGCAGAGAAGCAGCACAGCTTGTTGGGTTTTCAGTAGACCTTACAAAAGATAATAATATACAGTCCTTATCTCTACCCTGGAAAAAATACAAACAAGTGGCCATTTTATTGTGAGGAATGGGGATCTTTATCAGTGTAACGAGAGCAAAAAATTTAAATGAAATGATCAGAAGGAAACGCCAAAGTGATTCCTTAAATGTTAGAGAAATATTAAAGACTATTCGATTGTATGACTTAATTTTTGGAGCACAGATTCACAAGTCCTACATAATACTTTGATGCTTGCTTCAGCCTAACCTGGTATTTGTCAATCGTATGTATCTCCAAGGAAGTCAGTATCGCCAAGGAAGTCGTGCAATGGCGGATGACGTTTGCCTGTGAATTATATGGAGTAATAATGCCAATGTGTTCTTTTCCGATTCCATTTTTAACTAATTCCTTTGCAATCTGCAACATGAGTAAATGGAAAAAACTGATTTTATGGATATGAAACAGACAAATGACACGAATCTTTAAACAGTTAAGGAAGAAGGACCAAGGCAATAAACCCACAAAGTTCTTCAACTTTGGGGTTGTCATGTATACCGATATAATGTTCAAGTGTATTTTAACCAAACATAGAGCATTCATAAAGCAATAAGAAAATTTAACCAAATATAAAGACATAAAACCAATTGATAGCTAAAAAAAGGGACAATAAAGCTATTTTATCTGCTAGTATATCGTATAAAGAGAGTTTCGTCCTTAAAGCATAATCACTGAGTTTAATCACGATTAGTTTGGTAAACATACTCAGATGACATACGGGTTACCGTAATATAAAATAAAGGTTAATTATTTTGTTTTTGTTAATCAGAACTATCAATGAATCGATCATTTTGGAAGAAATTACTCCTTCACAGTACAATCAATTCCTATGGTCTAACAGTCCAGACCACCAAGGCTAGGGCAGCTTGACATGAAAAACGTATGAATTTGCTCGTAAAAAACAAATTTATATCATCTTTGAAAATGACCTACCTCAGCAATTATTTGAGCTTCAATAGGGTTATTCACAACCTTCTGATCTCTTGCCTCTAAAGCCGGCAACTTGTCTATGATGAAAAAGTAAATGTAAGCAATCTCATTTACAATGAACTAGAGGATAAAGGATGTAAAGGAAAATATGTTCAAACCAGTATCAATAAATATCACAGGTCTTCGAGGATTCAAAACCTGCACATGGTTATGCAAAAAGAGACTTAAAAGACATAATTTAACTTATCCAAGCATAAACATTGTTATCGTATCTGTGACAGTGGCAATTTTTCCCTTAAAGATTGTTTATTTCACCCGCTCAAAATTTTATTAAAACTCAAACTTTACCCAGAATACATTAATAATACAGCTTAATATCTACATTACACTATGACTATTCAGTATCTATATTAAGACTGACAAATACAGCTCAGCATAATTTCCCAACCTAGAGACTATTTGACACTGACAACCAAAGGTTGATATCTGCGGAAATGAGTTTCTAAGACTTTTAATGAAACATTGAAGAAGAACTTCTAAATACTATTTTTCAATTTTAATTTTTCAAGGTGAATTACGTTGTATAGACAATGCTAATAACATACCTAGAATAAAAGAGACAATGCAAGAAGAAAATTACTGTTAACAAAAATAAATAAACCAACAAGCACAGAAAAAAGGAAACTGTCTTTTCTAAAGCGTACTATCCATTATAATAATTTTCAAGGAAGATCAAGCTCATATGAATAGATAGAACTAAGCAATAAAAGCAAAAATCCTCCATCTAGTAAGAATTCAGATAAAAACTTACTATAATATAGTAAGAATTCAGATAAAAAAAGCCTCACATGTTCTAGCCAAGGAAAGTCACAGCTTAAGTCTGAAAACTCAAGTTTTGCATTAGCTACCTCCACTGAACCACACCTCAATCTGTCACCATATATCAAGGCATTTGAAAGGTCCATGATGTCTTGACACATACGATACTGCATATACCAAATATGTCAAGCCACTAGACAATGGATCAAAAGGAACAAAACAGAAGATTCTAATCCAATATCCATTAGCCATAACATACCTGACTCTGTAAGGCTAAAATAGCCTGTGGATGGGCTTCTGAGAGCCTACAGAACAAACTTATCCCCATGCCATTCTCTCGGGCTTCTGTACTCTAGGAATTATCAGATAAAAAAATTCGTAAGATCATATTATAGAGTTTTGTACAAACAAAGAACAAATAGTTTAGGCACATACATTGACAAGTGGTGGCAGTTGATAATGATCCCCAACAAGTACAAACATTGAAGCAAACGTCAGAGGACCCAAGGACACCTGCAATGGCAATATTTACAGCATATTTTTTGTGAAAGCATACAACATAATTACATACACGTGAACAATTGTTTCCTTTCTCTCAACGCTTCCTTATGTCATGGTTTGTTTCAATTAAAATTGAATTTTAAATGCATAGGGAGGAAAAGAGACAAAAAAGAATAAGACATGAATTGATACAAATTGAGGTGTATCATATTTACCGTTATTTATACTAATCAAATCATGGTAAGAGAAAGAAATAAAGAAATCAAAGAAAAAAATGATGAAACTAATCCAAGAGGACAATATAATTTACTTTATCTTGTGGAAAAAGTACTATAAAATATACGAAAGGAAAAATAAGCTTACTAGTAAGGTTGTCTGTCCAGCTTCATCCATAATGCATACATCAAACCTTGTGTTGGCAAGCAAGGGACTAGAAATGCCAAGACAAGTAACTGCGACAACTTTGACTTGTTCCAACCTTCTTTTGATATCTTCAACACCTTGTACACTCATTGCTGAAATAGAAACCACTGTCAAAAGATTTATTACAAATCTTATTATAATTCAAATAGGGAGCGTACAAGCAATAAATTGGCAAACCTGAGAGGCAGTGTTCTCTGACCACCTCATTCACTACTTCGTGTCTTCCAATTCGTACAAAATCAATCCCCTACATCAATATAAATTATAATGACATGAAATATATGACACCTAAAAGTAGACATTGAAGAATATACAGAAATAATAATCGTAATCATTTAGAAAGAAGAGAGGCACGCATCAGTAAAAATTAGTACACCATGCAGGACATCAATCAAATCAATTTAGTACAAGTTTTCATGCTGGGATTTAGTACAGCAGAATTCCCAAGTGAAGGGACGTGGCAGAAGGTACAGGTGCAGACGTAAAGTCACAGTAGATTAATTTTAAGAGATGTCACAAATCTCAAATTAGAGGAATCAACGAATTTGATTTGTTTTATTTTTAAAAAATGATCTCCATTGTTATTTATTTATTTGTTTCAACAAGGAAGACATTTAAGGTAATCTTTCTGTTGAAGCAGTATTTTAACTGCTGAAAAATACATGAAAGTTTCTATATATCTAGGTTTACCAAAAAGTGACACTAAGAAATTTCAAATTTAAGAGGACCAAACAGAGGCAAGCCTCAAGGTTCTTGAAAAACCTTCGAAACTCCTCTAAAACAAACTGAACCAGTTTAAGATGGTTTTCATTCCCTTTGTTTCTTAGTAGTCAATCTGCAGGACACCAGAATAACCTTGTCCTTTCCTAGGCTAAAGAAAATAAAGCGATCCACAAATTGAAAAGTTTATCAACTACAAAAGTTTCTAAAAGGGTTTCAGGAAATGCTTCAGAGGTTAAAGTAGAAGAAGAATTGCAATCTAAAGAAAACTGAGCACACGATTGAAAAATTGAAAAACTATTGATTGACGATTCAAGAGAAGATAAAGGATGTGCCGTTTATCAGGACAAGAACTATGACAATATTTTGGAAGAGGAAAGCAAGGAACATTAAGAGGGATAGAAATTAACCTATTCTGTCTAATTTTAGCTCTGTAGTTTTTATTGATGTTGTTAGAGTTCTTATGTAATGTTATGCTAATTTTATAGGGCCTCGCAAATTTTATTTCACAGAATGCGTTTCATATTTTGTTATCATTATATATGTCATTAGTTTATTATTTATTTTCCACATTGACTAAAAATAAAGACAATTTACAGTATATAACTGAATACAAACCTCACCTTACAAGTTGCTTTTTAAAAAAATAAATTAGACTTAAATTTGAGTTCTTAACATTTATTACATTTACTAGAATTATTCATGTATAACACACATTTGTTAATTCATCCACTATGTTTCTTCAAAGTGCCCATAACACCATCCACAATATCATATGGCGTAGTTTTGGCCTTACGTAGACCACAATCTAGATTGAAAATTGAACTTCAAAAGTAAGAGGAGGATGT